AAGCTTAATTAAGCACTTTTGGAATTACTGGGTACTGTTACTGCCATTCGTAACTACTACCACGACCTGTATCATAAACACCCTCCTCAGCCCTCGCCAGCACCAGGCCCCCGTTTTCAGGTTTCTTGGGCACAGCTTCAAGCAGCTCTGTCGAGTCTGCCTTGCAACAAGGCCCTGCCGCCTCATGTCGTGCCATCACGACTGTGGTGCCTAGCATCAGACATCCTCACTGACAAATATCTTCCCATGCTGAACGCTTGGTTAGCGGACATGAGCGTCCCTCCACCGGAGGAATGGCATGTGGCGGACTTGTGCTTGATCCCGAAACCATCCAAACCCATGACAGGCCCAGAAGCCCTACGACCCATCTCCCTCATCCACCCAATTTCGAAAGCCCTTTCCCTCATACGGAACAACCACATTAAGCCCCAGCTCTGGCAGCTTGTGCATGACTTGACACAGATGGCCTATCTTGAGGCAAGATCAGTGCAAGACGCACTTGATCGGGCGTCTGCGCATTGCGCTCGAGTCAGGGCGGTGTTACGAGCACAGCAACAGAACATACATCTCCGCAAGCAGGGACACCGCCCGGCCGATTGCAGAGGCGGAGTTCTTTTGTCCGTTGACCTCCGACAGGCGTTCGATGTCATGCCGAGATCCAAGCTACAGGAAGCCATGGACCTTGCCAAAGCAGACCCAGCAGCTCAACATGTCATACTGCAGCTTCATGCCCATGCCAGCCTCCGCGTCACCCATGGCTCCCAAGTAGCCATGCTGGACACAGACAACGGCATACGTCAGGGCTGTTGCTTAGCTCCCTCATTGTGGGTGTTGTATACAGGGCTTATCCTCACCTACATTAGGCAACAAGTGAGCACGCATGACTCCACAGTCTTTGCCGATGATTTCTTGTTTCATTGGCTTGTCGATTCCACTGATCAGCTGCAAGGTGCATTTCGCAACATTGCTTTTGTGCATGACACCCTGGAAGCATTTGGAATGACCATCAGCCCTGGCAAGTCGGCTGTCTTGATCGGGGTTCATGGGTCCAAGGTGGGATCGATACTTCAAAAACACGTCTTTAAGGATCCTAGAAAAGGTAAGTTTCTACATTGCCCCACCCGTCATGGCACAATCCGCTTACCGGTAGTTACTCAGCATCCATACCTCGGAGCGATACTCAGCTACCAATCTATGGAAACCCTCACACTCAAGGAACGCATTCGTCAGTCCTGGAGTTCTTTTCACCGCATCCTGCCGGCCCTTCGCTCAAACAGCGTGGCCCTGCGCAGCCGCATTTCCGTATGGCAGAGCTGTGTCTTCTCTACACTGATGCACGGCCTGGACAGCGTGGGCTTAGCCCCGGGTGGCTCGACACTGCTCTATAAGCATGTTGTTAGACAGCTTAGGCTTGTTTGCAAGGCACCGTCATACATTACGCACGAGGACCCTGCAGCTCTGCTCACCCGGCTGCGCGTCCAGGATCCAACAGACACTCTGCGCCTCCGTGTACAGCGCCGCCTGAGCCGCTGCCGGGAGGGTCACATGGCTGTTCTCCAACCACCGCTAGTGCATAGCTGTGGTGGCAGCAACTGGATTCCAATCTACAGTCTGCAGCCAGTGACCCGAAGCAGATGCTCCATCAGCATCCCCTGCGCGTGCCGACCAGACTGGTAGCACTTGCGTCACCGGTCAAGCCCCTACCCTGCCCCATCTGCGGATTTTACTTCCCCACCAAACGAGCCTTACGCATTCATGCTGCCCTCAAACACAAATCCGAACCCCCCATGAACAATCCTACACCCCAGCCCAAACCCAAACCGTCACCTAGACCGCAGTCAGCTATGAGACGTGACTTTATGCAACACAGTCTGCAAGGGCTACCCACGTGCAAGCACTGTTTTTGGGTCTTCACGTCTTCACCAGCTGGCCATCTTTCTGCATGCACTTTGAGAAGGCGAGATGCCCGGTGCTGCATCTTGGAGAGATGCTTGCGCCAACCTCTCGACCGGCCACAAGCCTCGACTCCCCACAAACACCTGCCATCGCCCCTAAACCGCAACCCGTACACTCTAAGCGCCCTCTAGTCTCCACTAATTTTGAGGATGCTCCCAGGGAGCCCCTACACCTGACCCCCGATCCTGTCTCAACCCCTGCAGCACATGCTAGTCGCCTGTCGAATCCGACCTGCACTCACAATGTTGCTAATGTCATAGACATTACAGAAGATATACCGATATACCCTCTACAAGCATGGCGCCCGCAAACCCTACAAACTTGCTTGTGGACCGGATCGTAAACCGATATCCTTGTTTGCCTAGAGACTGGTGTGCAACCGCGCTGGCTGGTGATTGGAAACGCCTGGCGCTGAACATCAAAAGCACAGATTTCAACCACTGCTTGCTGTGCGGACAATGGCTTGCGCACCCAGGTTACCTGTCGCGACACGTCAAATCTCAGCATGCCGAAGCCTATGCCTTTCATGCTGCTGTGTTAAAGTGGCTCGACGACCATAAGACGGCCATCCTGTCGCCCTGCCAGTTCTGCGGAGCTGACTTTAAGGCGCGCAAGTGCAGTCGCCCAAGACATGCCAGGGAGTGTCCCATCTTGTATCGTGCAGGTCTTCTACTCCGACTGTGCGTCTCTTATGCACAGACTGCTACCGCTTCTGCTCCTGCAACTGCCGTTGAAGCACCTCCCACCTCAGGCCATGGAGACCCACATGAAGGATGCACTTCGGAAGGAGATGGCGGAAGTGGAAACCCAGGAGCTCATGGGGGCGCAGGACCAAGCCAACCTCCTCTCGGCCATGATGCGTCGTTCAGCGGGGGCACTGGAGCCATCTGCACCGAGCGATCCCTTGCTGGACAGCACCAGGGCCAGCACGCCAGCAGGAGAGGGTGCAGCGACGGAAGCAGCCCCGGACGAGCCCGAAGCCATGGAGACGCTTCGCGACCAGGAGAAGTGGCCCAGGATAGCCGCACGACCCAGGACAGGTCATGGAGCAGCCGCCAGTGGCCCAACCGCCAGGACCGCCAGGATCGCTCGGACCGGAACTGGAAGTCCGACACAGACGGGGACAAGGCATGGGCCCCTCCTGCTACGACACGAGGACCAGTTCGGCATCAACAGGGCCCAGGACAACTATGTGATGTTCGCTCAGTGCCAGGGGGTGCTTTCTATGGTCCCGGAACTCTACGTGGCAGCAGAGGCCTGGAAGACCATGAAGAAGGAGACACCCGAGCTCCTGACGCTGCCCCTCCGGGCATGGCTGCTGAAGCACTGGGTGGACCTCATGCTCAAGCGGATGGAAATGATTATGACGAGCGAGGACACCATCAAGCAGGCCAAGGATATGCTGATTTTGGACGACCAGTGCAATGTTCCATACTTGGAATGGAACCGGAGCACCCGCTCCCTGCAGATCAAGAGGGATCGCGACCCTATGACCCTCAGCCAGGTCCTAGAAGCCCTCAAGGCCATGCAGCTCCTGGCCATCCAACCTCTTGTGGTTTTGCGCTTCCACGCGACACGCGAGCTGTGCCAGGAGATGAAGTCGGAGGT